ATCGAATTGATGTACGGGGTTTGTGCCTGAAATTTCAACAGTTCTTGAAGCTGGGGCGGTAGATTTGGAGAATATCTATACTGAGGCTCAGCCGGTGGCTGAGGAACTTTACGGTATTGCTGTTGCGGTTTAGCCGGGGCTTTCGGCGCCTGTCGTCTGTGTCTTGGCGGACCGCGAGATTTCCCTCTAGGAGCTGGACGCCTTTGTTCAGGTGCCTCCTGTTCCTGGTACTCCGACTGATATCGAGGTTGATGTTCATTCGACTGCTGGGCTGCCAATAGGTTTTCGTATCTGCAAACAAAAACAATGTAAATAGATTTAATTAGATGTTCTAAAAAAAATTCCGTAATCCTAAGCTACACTCTGATCGACACGTTACCTAAAAGGTTCAGGAATAAAGTTCGCGTATGGAAGCTGCTGTTGCAATTGCAATAGGTGTTTAATATGCGACGGTGCGCTGTCCAAGGCTTTTGCCTGTTGGACCGGTTCCGGCGGCGGCGGGGGTCGACGTGGAGCTTGAGCTCTCTGTCGATGCGATGCTCTTGGCAAAGATTGAACAGGCGCTTCCGCGTATTGACTTTCCTGCTGTTGCGGCCGTGGTCGTCGTTGACGATCATACGATCTCCAATTCACCCTTAATCCTATTCAATTTCATTAATTGCTTTCTGCGCTAATCATTTTGCTATTACGAATTTGTAACGCAGTGAAAGAACTTTAAATTTGATTCGCAAGTCAAATTGCTTACCACTAGGATCATTGTACTGAAGAGATTTCGTAGAACCATCATCGGATGAACCTTGGATTATGTACTGATTGCTTCCATCGGATGCTCCTTGGATGTTATACTCTCCTGTGGTAGGTCCTTGAAAATATCTCTCCGCACCACCGTGGTGGGCACCCTGAAGTTGGAAATTACTATGGCCGTCGCTCCCACCTTGGATTTGGGCATTGCCATCTGATGCACCCTGAATACTAAACCCACTATCCTGTGGTTCTAAAAAAATATATATATAAATAATAATAAATTAATTGTAGAAATGAATTATATATACATATATAAAGAGAACGTTTAATTCAAATTCTTGCATTTAAATCATTATACCTATTGTGTTCACATACAGTATGAATCATATTCTAATAAATGGTATTTACCATTCTGGTTCGTATATTCGATTCCTTTCCCTTCGTCTATTCTTAAACCCTGGGCAACCCGATTCCCGTCACTAGGTCCCTGTATGGAGAATTGTGCCAAGCATGCTGGCAATGCTATCAATAATAAAATCTGAAAAGTCAATTATAATATTTAATGATGGTGATATATGTATATATAATATAAGGTGAACTTTGATAATCCAATTGCACAACTTCTAATCATACTATTATCTAATACAGTGGAACTTGATCCAGTGATAAATTCTAACGCTTACGCACTGGTTTCTGCTACCAGAATTTATATGGGAGTGCAACTGTAATAGCCATAAGGGAAAGTAGTACTTCAAGACCAGATTTTTTTATCGTCAAGCTGGATTAATTACATATCGTGACACTTTATAGAATTTAAAAACCGAAACAAATAGAATTATCTTTAGATTCTGGAAGGGGAATTTCAGTTCATGTGAACGGTTGAGTCTTATCTTGCCTAATTCATTTCGTTGACTCCGAACGATTAATCGAGTGAAGTGTGACTGTAAGATAAGCTTAACTCTCTCGTTAATTAAATGGATCAGTTAAGAAAGTTGAATGATTTCTAAATTGAAATGTCTCAATTCTATCTATTGAAATTTAAATATCTTCAAATTATTTGACTAATTCAATAGCTTTCTTAATAATCATATTTCAAATGAAAAATTTGTATAAAACCAATCAATACTTCTGTTATCGTACTTGTGAACAATGTTACGATATTTCCTAATAAAACTGCAACGTCTTTACTATAAACCTTGATGATAAGACCAAATTAAGATTCAAACTTGAGGAGTAAAAAAACGTTCTACATGCATCAACCTATTAAACTGGATAAAATTCCAGTTTCCAGGAGGGAAAGTTTCGCGTGTCTTAGATCGACGAAGGCAGTTTCCGTAATCGGGAAAAGGCGACGAGTTAGGTGTACATACATATACCTTTCCTCAGAACATTCCAGTATGGCAAAAAAAAAA